CCCCAAAACCCCAAAACCCCAAAACCCCATATTGACAGAATTTATCTAGCATTGATAAAATTATATTTTAATTTAATTTTTTGCTAAAATGAGGTATGATTATATAATTCTAGATTTTAATGATAAAATAATATTTTTGCATATAGTATGGAACGCTTGCAAAAAACTTTAGATATGAAGTCATTATCAGATATGCTTTTGGCGACTCGAGAAGACCTTGAGAAATGCAAAACAAAAGATCATGATTTGAGTGATTTTACAATCAACTCAACCTATGCAGAAGCAGCCTTAGAAAGAGGCATAAGACCTGTATTAGCCTATAATTTGCTGAAAATTGAGAATAATAATTGCGCACATTTCTCAACTGGAAATGAAGAGTAAGAAGAGATTCAATTTAAAGTTAAATTTTAAAGATTAGATTTAAGACTTGGAGATAAGCAAATATCAAGTAATGAGCTAGTTGAGATTTGTGGCACTTCTGGAAGTGGAAAGACTTATTTATGCTTAAAAATGGCTAGCTTAGCTTTGAATAACTAAAATGTTCCTGTAATTTACATAGATACAACAAACTACCTTAATAATGAGAATGTTTCTATTGTTTTAAAGGTAATTTATTATAACTTAAATGCAATTATTAGAATTTTATGAGAGAAGTTGATCAAGACAGGAAAAATGACAAGCAGAGGGAATTATTAGGAAGATTCAAAGTTATTAAAATTCACGATTTTGACAAGTTAATCCTGCTTCTAGCTAAAATTATATCATAGCTCAAGAATAATCAGCAGAGTTTTGGAATTAAAATGATCATAATTGATAGTCTCTCAAGTCTATTCTGGGAATAAGGGTCTAAGTCTATGAAGTAACATGAAAGATATCAATAGCAAATTAAAGAAGTGCTGTATTACATGAAAGTTCTGACAAAGAAGTACTATATTTGTGTGATCTATACTAATAATACTAAAGAAGCAGGGGCAACGAAGGTTACTGAGATTCAAAATTTGGTAGGTGAGCCCCTATAATGGGCTGTTGACAAATAAATATATGCTTGTTAAGATGATCATTCAAACAGCTATATTCTGGTTAAACATTGAAGAATGGTATCAGTGATTCTATGAAAATAGAATTAAAATTGAGATAATAAACTTGTGATGTATATATTAATTTTAAATTTTGTAATATATTCAAAATGAATAAATTTAATTTAACAAATCGAAAGATCTAATCACAATTACAGCGATCATTTCATTCACAGAATATCAGAACTGGGATAAGAAATACTAATAAGCAGAATGTATTTAGTAAGCATTCCTTGGCGTTGCATTATAAATCTTAAACTCATCTTTTCCCAATGAAAAACTTTAAATTTTCAACAATCGATCAGAGTAATGACATCGATAAAACATAGATTTCATCTGAATAATTCTCTGATACTTCAGAAGCAAAGTTAAGTATAGAAGAAATGATGAAGATGATTGATATGGAATAACTGAAGGAATTCAATCCAAAGCTTTACAATTAGATCTAAGAAGATCCCAGTCAGCTGCTACTCTTATAAGATGTATTGATAAATAATGATTATTAAGCAAAGGCTGAAATTGCTTCTCAGGCTATGTAAACTGCTGCAGAGAATTTATAATATAAACCACCCAAAGTTTACTCTATGCCATTTATTTGGGCCTATTTTACTCCTGTTTTTACATTTACTGCAGCATGGTTAATCAAGCTTCAAGCAGCTACAAACATCCCATGGTTACCATTTTTTATTGTGTGTGGATTTGGAGTCAGATTAATGTTAGCACCACTTATGATAAGGTAGATGGTTCTAATAAACAAAATGGGGTAAGCATCACCTAATATAAGACTTGTAATGAAACTTTTTAAGTATGCGAAAATGCCCTTGCCTTCTCGAGTTAAAAATGTGGCATCAGCTATCTATGATTATGCAAAATAAACTAAAACAAACCTAGTTGCTTTCTACTTCTATAACTTGATTCAAATTCCAGTGTTTATTACAATGGTTTTGAGTATAAGAAAAATAGCTTATGAAAATGAAGAACTGTTTGGAGCAGGAGTATTTTGGTTTAAGAACTTAAATGAACCAGATCCATACTTGATTCTTCCTATTATTGCAACAATACTCAACTATATCAATCTTGGTGTAAGACCGATTAAATCTTAATTTGCTATTTTAGAGAGGAATAACGAAAGATAATGAGCATTGGTTTATTAACAGATTTAGATCATTCTTTCAAGTTTTACAATTCTTTCATTTACCATTCACCCATCAATGGCCAGCTGGTGCTTTTGTTTACTGGATTTCTTCTTCAACATTTGTTCTTATGTAAACCACACTTCTAAAGAGACCTTGGTTCCTGAATAAAATCAATCCGAACTTCTTCTACGACTATCAGAAGTTATATGGAGAAAGATCCCCCAAAGATCATGAAAATTATGTTGAAAGACTTTTAAATTCAGAGGACCATAGACTTAAGCAATACACAAATGATAGATATGTAAAAGAGGAATTAGAATATGAAATGAAAAGATTTTTGGCATTCCAGAGAATGAGAAAGGTTAAAGGTAAGACATAGGATCTAGCAACAAGCAGTTTAACATGGTTTAAGAGTGGTGAAAACAAAACTACACAAAATTGAAGCTTCAATCATTAGATCTGAGAAAATCTCAATTTATTTTGATTGATTATTTAATCTCTACTTAATTAAATAGATTTTATTAAGCTTACGGGGTTTTGGGGTTTTGGGGTTTTGGGGTTTTGGGG